TGGCTCTTGTGGTCTCTGATTAGCACTCTACACTCTGGACTCTGCTCAATTCAGCTATGGCTTCTCTGTTGCTCAGCCAACAACCCACACATTTCTCCTCCTGTTCCGTCGTGCACTCCCCAACTCTGACCCAACTCGAAAACCCATCCTTTTATCTAATAAAAGTCCCTGATATAGTTATCTGTCAATCAGATCTAGCTAGCCTTGGCTCATGTTATTGCAGCCTTCATATTTAAATGTCTGTAAATAAAATATGCTGCTAGGCAATTCAGCATTCAGGGTTGTTGTTTACATATTTCTATGGTGTCAAGTTCCAGATATAAGTGGTCATAATTTATTTATTTTATTATCCCACGCATCCAGTAATAAATCAACTTGAGGAAAAGTCACCAAATGCGAGAAGATGGGCTGTTAATTTAACAGAATAATTTGATTTTTAAATTCCAGGGTTTCAAAACGACCCCTTGGTAATTCTAATGTTAACAACAAAATATGCTGCACACTAATAAGAACAAATAAGTTGATGTTTTGATCAACAGTGCATACAACAGTCTAAAAGGTGAACATGGTCTCAGGCCTGTTTTCGGAGAACACACCTTCTTTCCTAGAGGCCACTGGATCACTGAGTCATTAATAACTAGGCTGTGTCCAGGTAATGAGGCATCATAGAAGCCGACTTTCACCAAATTAAGAGAGCCATCAGGCGCCCTCTGCCAGTTCATTAGATCATAATAAGCAATGGGGTCACCATTTTGATCAAAATTGACTTTCTCTCCCAGTGCTGAGAAATTTGCATGTTTCATATAGTGAATGAGCTGTAACAAAAAGAAATAAAATGTTATTTAAAGAAAATATATGGGACATTTGACTTCAGTATTTTAAGATAACATTGAACCCATAATTTGACTCACCTGCCACGGTTTAAAATTTTTGGGGTCTGCACACGTGCCATTAAGAAAAGGCCCCTTTCCTACTTTGCAATTACTCAAATCTTGTAGGGCATAGGCAACTAGGTACACAGCCTTGTAGATATTATATGACACTCTTAGCTGTGTCACATCAGAATAAGGAGAGTAAACATCATTTAAATCCTCTGTCCCTTTACATGGCTGTCTGTCAAAGAAATTGTCAGAGCCATGAGAATGGGTATTCAGTGACCCATTTAGTCGACAGTCAAAAGTCTCTTCCCAAAATTCTGCCAGGAAAGCTGATTTATGAAGAGAAGATGCTGTAAGACTGGTGAGATGTTGTTTAAGCCCAGGAATTGTGGCAGCTCTCCTGATCGCAAATCCTAATGTTCCCATCAGAAGATCTCCAGACTTTTCCCAGAGTGACTTGGCAGTGGCCCATGCCTCACTTGCAATCCACTGCAGGCCAGTCATGTTCCGACGCATGATCCCTCTCAGAATACTCTGCATCTCCGACTCACCAGAAAAGTTAATGATGACCTTTGAGGATGAAAACTAATAATGGGAAATTTAGATATATTTAATATTTAATTAATTGTAAAAATCCTAAATAATGGATTGTATGTAGAAACTAGGTCCTCTTTGAATATTCTTCTTTCTTAAAGTTAATATTTTAAACATAATAAATATGAAACAAGTCATTTTTATTACTAATTCTACAAATATATAGATATAAAAATATATTAACATAGATGCAGAGGTACCTGAATGACATTCAGTAGGTCATCTAGAGCCTGCTGACTGACCACTACAGGGTAGAAATGTGTATAGGCAGCACACACACCATAGTGCACTGACTCCTGAAGGAAGAGCTGGATGGCAAAACGGGCATAATCAGATTCCACACCAATCACTCCCACCCAGGTCCAGCCAAAATAACTAACAAGTTGAGCCAGAGCTCTAATCTGGAAGGTGTCACTAGGCATGGTGCGCATAAAGGTAGGGAACTCCCTTTGGTTACTCAGACAGCTGCAGGATGCAAAATAGCTCACCTAGATTTACAGCAAACATTAGTTAACCATTAGCATGATGAGTTACTGAAAGGGCTGTGAAACAAGCATCAACAATATAATACCACTGCCTTCATAATGATCCACTGATATAGGATTTTCACACTATTTAAAATGCAGAAAGAGAGAGCTGTAAGTCTACTCATTATTTTAAAAAAAAGGATAAGTTGAAAATGTTTTTACATTTGAATGTATTTATATATTTCTGAAAATATAATTAGTTAATTGACACTGCAAACCTGATAAAGGTGTAATTACAAACACAGGAGTATTACATTCAGCACTAGCAGATGCAGGTCAGACTGTCTCACCAGAGGGATATGGAAACAACCCAGACTTCGAAGCAGTGCCATAGACACCCCAGAGCCAGCATCTCCTATGATTACTGAAGACACAGTTCGGCGAACAGCATCACAGCCTACGTTATAGCCATTGGTTTTTAGAACTTTGTCTCTGTAGAAACTCTCGGCTCTGAAGCCTTTGTCTGGCTGCCCATTAACCAACAACAAAGAAGCTCTCAGAGACACAGGTATGTCATCACAACTGTCATGGATGTGAAAACCTAGCTTTAGGTGTGGCAGGAGATCACTGCGGCCATTGATTTCTTTAATTGTGAAAGTCATGGTCTGCATCCACCGCAAGGCACGAGAGCTGAAACTATACAGAAGTGTAGAAACAATTAATCATACGATACACATCACACAAACACACACATGTAAACCGTAAACAGACATAAATAAGTTTGTGTGTTACAGTAGCAAATGTGTGTTAACTACTGTGAATAATAATCACTTACTACTTATACATATTAGTTTTTGGTTTTTCTTTATAGGTTGAATGAGAAAACACAGGACTGTAATGTAAAGGAAATAAACCCCCTATAACTACATCTCCATCCTCGTAAAGACTATTTTTATCCTCTTCTCCCAAAAAAACACAGTTATCAAAAACAGCAGCTGAGCCATGTTTGTTGTTCATAAGATAAAGAAATATAAAAAGCCATGCAATCAACAATGTCATAGCTAACTCAGGTTTGAAGGAATGCTGTAAAACCTTAATGATAGAAAATACATAAAAAGAAAACAAGAAATATGATATTTACAGACACAGTTTAGTTATATACTGTGGGACACAGATCTGAGAGGACTGCCCACAAAGGGGCTGAAACATCACTTAAGGTAACCAGTAGGTAATTTAGAGCATGCTATTGGGTGAAATACACACGCACGCACGCACGCACACGCACACACACACACACACACACACACACACACACAC